CTCGACAATCGTCGCGGGCGAAAAATCATGTCCAAGCCTATCCGGGGACCGAGTCGGACCGTCGGGCTACCTAGCCCATGAACAGGTCTAATGATATGTGAAGAAATTGGGAAGTTGTAGCTAGAAGTTCTATTATAAGGGGCGAACCAGTTGTTGCTTGGAAACCCTTGGAAGAAGGTTTTATCAAACTGAATTTTGATGGCAGCAGTCTAGGGAACCCAGGTCCAGCTGGCATAGGAGTCTTTAGAAATTTTGAAGGTCATGTTGTTGTTGTATTCTCAGATCCGGTTGGAGTAGGGGATTTGGTCTTTGTGGAGTTCCAAGCTGTATTGCAAGGTGTATAGATTGCTAGAGAATTAAGTTATGACAGACTGTTAATTAGAGGTAACTCAAAACTGATAATAGGGTCGCTAACAATCCGTTTGGTTCACGTGATCTAGATGAGAAAATAGGAAATATTCCTATTTTCTCATGTTTGTTTTGGGAGAGATGCTGCAATGGGATGAGAATAGCATTCTCAAAATCTGGGATGTGGGGTCTCACCAAATAGGTGTGACCCCACTGAGAAACGAAAGTCGTGTAACGGCAGTGAGGAAATTTTATCGAGGGGTGGACTGTTTTCATCTCCCACCTCTGCAACGGTCCAAACTCCGACCACCTATATCCTTCATCTCCGGCGAAGGTAACGTTTCAGGCAGTTATTGTCTTCATCTTCTCCGGCGAAGACAGCAAGGACATGTTATTGTCTTCATCTTCTCCAGCAAAGGTAATGTTTCTGGCGGTTATTGTCTTCATCTTCTCCGGCAAAGACAGCAAGGACAGGAAGGGCATGTTATGTCTTCGTTTTCGGCGGTTATTGTCTTCAGATCTCAAACATCAAGGACAGGTGATTGTCTTCGTCTTCTCCAGCGAAGGTAACGTTTCCGGTGGTTTCATTTCTCCAACGAAGGTAAGGACAGGTTATTGTCTTCATCTTCAGATCTCTGGTTTAACTTCGCCACTCTAGATCTGGCCAGAGACATGTGTTTGCTCCAGATCTGGAGTTTTTGCCATGGATTTGTTCCAAATCTGTTCCTAGCCCCATGGATTTGTTCTAGTTCTGCAGTATTTCTTCATCCCTTCATCTCATCAACCAAATGCTAGAAGCATATTCTGTAGGATAGTAGGTCTCGGCAAACAAACACATGGACCAAAAAATGAGAAAATAAATTCTTCCTTTCTCATCTCATCCCTTCTCATCCCACTGTTTCTCAGAAACCAAACGGACCATAAAGGAACTGGAAACAGTAATAAAGAAATACATGGAAAATATGAAAGATTCAAATGGATGGTTAGAGATATGGCAATATCTGTCCAATGGGAAAGGCAATCAGCCAATGAGATGGCTGATTACTTTGCAGAACCGCGGGGGGTATAAGTCTGAACTATTTTGGGCTCAGTTGTAATTCTGATTCTGTTCGGGGCTGCATCTCACGCCTCTGTTGGATGCTTGTTGTAATTCCTTGATGTAACCCATTCTCTGTTTTAATAAAATTCCATCATTTATAAATATATATATATATATATATATATATCCAAAGGTCCAAAACCAAAGCAACTTCCTTTCCAGATATTCTTGATCAAACAAGCATATTAAAAAAGGATTTATTCTCCTATACCCAGAGTGAAAGGAAGCAGATCTATGAAAAACCTATTACTAGGGATAACCAAATCATTTAGACATGATTGCTTTGCTTTCCACCAACCTGTCTTGGAGAATGGTATGCCAAAATCTATGTGGTTTTCCATTTACTGATGTAATAAAATCTCTAAGTTTCATTAAAAGCATCCCTAATTCCTACCAAAAGACACTAAGACCAATAAAACACTGGGATGGCAAGCATGAGAAAGCAGGTTTGAATCTGGACAATCAAGTTCACTACACATGGATTGCATAGAAATTTGCATTCATAGCAAGACAAGAAAAGGGGAAAACAAAAGATGCTGTATAACAACAGAGAGAAGACTTCCTCAATCAACTATGCACGAGGCAATTTAGGTGCCTAGATACTATTCTTATTGAGAGCACACCTTGCCTCAGGTAAATGGAAGCACCTTAAGACCACCTTGCCCTTTGTGCTTAGGCGCTCATCTAGGATACCTCTGAAAAGATATCCAGAGACAGACTGGCCTTGGACACACTTGATGATAATTCTCCACTAGCCATCTATGGTGAACATTGAAGGATAACAACAGAAGACTATCTAAAGGCATGATGAGATTCAGTTACCAAATACATAATAGATCTACGATAATTTCCTTGTGTGATTCAATGTCCTAAAGTAACTCATTTCTCTAAGATGTAAGAAGAAATAGTGGAATTATCATTTATATTTATATGAAAAGTTGCATTTGCCCAGAAGAGCCCTCTGTTGAACTCAGTTACCAAATACATACCCTTAGTCCCAATCAGATTGATGTACAAATACATTTATTGTAAATGAATAAAAGAACATTATTGTTTCATGTTGATATTGGTATGTTTCTATGTAATTACCCCTTAAAGTTGACACTTATGAGACTCGTGTTAGTTTAGAATGTTCTCAGCCGTTGGATAGACTTGGAGAGTTTATCCTACCAAGGCTGACACTGATGTGCTACCAAAGAAGTTGGGGCAGCTTGTCTCAGTTGCTAGGGTTAGACCCGAAGCACATGTAGTGTGTGTTTGGATGAAGCACTGAACCCGAACCATTTTTCTAGTTATGCCCTAGACCTTAGAGATTGATGGGCAAAACTGGAAAGTTACACATAACCCCTAGACTTGATTAAGGTACTACACTAGGTATTGGATTGGATTGTCTTTGATATGCCAATCAGTGAGATCCATCAAGGGTCAAAACTTGGGTATGTTGGGGTAGTCTGAGAATTCACTTGAGTGGGTGATCATAGTGATAGGATCGGCCCCTTTGTCGAACAAAGTGAATGATAGGGCTTACACTCTCTCTGATAGAAACCTAAACTACCGGCAGTGCATTTTAACTGTGTCTAAGATTTGGTTTTGCAAAATATATTTATATGATATATATATTGTTTTTTTATCAAAAACGATAACTTTCATTAGAGATAAATTAAACTGAAATACAGAACTCAACCCTTATTAGAAAAGGTTGATCCAATAAACATCAAACATTACAACACTGCCAAATAAAGACTCTCCCTTACAGTCCCTTGTTTTGCTAGGGCGTCAGCAAAACCATTTGCTATACCTTGTCACCAGGGGAGAGGTCCTTCCCTATCGGGCGGTGTTGTGATCATTATGGGCCGAGAGGTTAAGTGTAAAAGACCATTACAGGGTTGATTACCTAATGGGCTTTATCTTAAGTCCATTATCCTTGGATCTTCATAAGATTGCTGAATTCAATGATCATTTAGGTATAAATGTTGGGCCCATATTGAGCCCATAGTGATGTGCTCAAGGGTTCACTGTGTTTAGCAGTAAATTCGGCTAAGCCTTTTCATAGAGATTGGGCTGCACTCATGTGGACCTATGTGAGGTCATTGTGAAGTCCCAAACCATACAAATTAGGCCTAAGTTGGCCATGCAATATCTTGGGTCGTGAGCCTTTGAAGGAAATGAGCCTAAGGCCCATAATTAATAAGATTAAGTAAGTTGTCACATGACAACTTGGATCAAATCTGGATTTGGAAATGGGTATAGAGCACCCATCCTCTTAAGAGGATAAGGCTTATCTCTTAATAGAGTCTAGATCCAAATTAGATTTGGATAATCTCCTAATTTGATTAGGAGAGTGCTCCATAAGGAGATAAAAGGAGAAGATGGCGAACCAGACTAGAAGACCACTCTCTCTTGTTCTCTCTTCTTCTCTTTTGTCTTCCAAGAAACTCTATCACGACCTAGGCTTTCAAGGACTGATAGAGATCAGCCATCTAGCATGGGTCGGCCATCCATATGATGGATCCCAACCCTTCCAACAGACTTCACCTCCTTACCTGTAATTAATCCCAACTTACCTCCCCCTGTGATAGTAAGTTTAGCCGATTGGGACCACTCCAAAATGTTGATCCCAACAAGTTTTACAATGGTTATCATACCACTTTTCCAGGAAACACTTTGGAACCCATCTATACATCTTTTGGTGATTATATACCTCACAATCAACTATTTCAGCAACCAAGAAGCACCCCAACACCCAACCGAAATACAAATAAGCCCAAAAGGAAGGGTCAAACTTGGTTAAAGGCTAGAGGGCCAAAAAGTTGGTTGGTGGCAAAATAGAGGGAGAAGAAAAACTCCCAAAAATTTTTAAGGTTTAGAAAAATAGGGGACCACTTCCCATCATTCCCAAAATATAAAACGACCTAGAAGAACCAGGTTTTGCATAACAAAAACCCATGAAACAAGAGAAACAAGCCTCTGAACGAGATTTGGAATTTCTGCGATTTTTCACCTGAAAAATCCACAAAAAATCATAGAAGCATCAAACACAACGAGACATACCAAATTTCATCTAAAATCAGGGCGAATCCAACCATACAATTTTTAGAGATTGTCGCCGCCACCTGTAGGGACTGCTAACATCATCCGGCGGCAGTATGATGTCAACAACTCACCCTCTGAGCAAAAACAAGTAGAGGAAGACTCTTCCACGACCTTCTAGTAGCTCTTATACCAAGTTATATCTAGGTTTTATTGAGAAAGAAAACAAGAAGAAGAAAAGTAGAAGAAAAGAGAAGAGAAGAGAAAGGTTTGAATGGAGAAGAGAGAGTCACTATTCAATATTCACTCTCTCAAACTTGGAATTTTATACTATTGAGAGAAATTACAAGAAAGCCCTCATATAGGTGCCCAAATACAAAAGAACAAAAAGACAAGAATACCGTTGCATCCAAACAATCTCAACAAAAGCCATCTAAACAAAAATGTGGGTAAATCTAGCAACAACTAAAGCATGCAAAAAACTATCCAACATCAGAAGCAGAAATGATTTAGTCCCTTATACCTGTGTGCCACTTCCATTGTCACTTCCATCCCTGGCATTCAAACCAATACTTGCATTATCATCTTCATCATTGCTGCTGGTATTATTGTCAGACTCTTCAGCACTTCTGGATTTGGTAGATTTTTGAATCTGTATACCACTTTCACTGCCACTACCACTAGGCTGAGAAAAGGATGGAATATTAATGCAAAAAAGAACGAAAGAAAAAACCTTAATTAATTCTGCACCAAAAATCAAGTAAACAGTTAGCAATTGAAGAAAAAGATATAAGAAAATTCTGTGACATCTAAAACAATTATAATTGCAAATGAGAAGTTAAACTTCAAACAAAAAAAAGTACACCAAAGAGAAAAATATAGCTGCAAATGTTCATTCACAGAGATGCACAGCTGAAGAAAATAAATAAACAACTCACACTGTGGAATCTCCTCCAAACATGCTGCCATAGATTTTTAAGCTCATTTTTCCGGATAGGCTTGACTAAAAAGTCAACAGCACCTTTTGATAAGCACTTAAAGACTAAACCAATAGAATCATGAGATGACATCACTGCACAGAAAGCGCATCAGCAGTAGCAGCTAAAAGTAATGACTTCACAAGAGATGATGCAAACAAAACCATTTATAAATTAATAACAATAATGAAATAAATTTATGAAAAGTACTTACTAATCACAGGAATATTCTTGCAAGTCTTGTGGTTCATAATCTTACAGAGAAGACCAATGCCCGATAAACAAGGCATTACTACCTCGGTTAAGACGAGATCGATGTTATTTGTAAGATTTTCTAAGATTTTCCATGCTTGTAGACCATTTGAAGCAGCAGTAACTGCAAAGGTCAATTGAATATGAAGCACAAAGTAAAAACTAGAATAAAAACAATATGTCCTGCATGCATTTAACTTTATTTTTGTTTTTCAAAGATAAGCAGTGTGAACCATATAACAATTTTTTAAGCCCTTAAATTTATTCTAAGTGAAGGAAGAGGACATCTTGAAATGATGTAACCATTTCCAAAGCATCATTTTTATCACTTTACAATGATGTAATTATTTAAAAAGAGTATTCTTTTACAATTTCAAAAAATACTAAAATATATTTTCAAAGAATTATATTTACAATGTTGTAAAATTTTAAAAATAAATTTCCAGCACTTCCAGCATATTTCTTATTTTTAAATGGCCAACATTTCCACTAAAACTAACATTTTAAACCTTGGACACAAGTGGTATCTGTTCCTATTGGTATAAATCCTCCAATTCTTGCCACCTCTACCATAGGGTCTTCTACTTACCTTTGTCTACTTAAGTACTCAAACTACTATCAGTCTCAGTGTTTTAAAAGAGCAAGGGGCATTTTGCACCTGAGGCGCAAGGCACAAGGCAAGCTGTGCACCATTTTGAAGCAAGGCACAAAAATGAAAAATGCAAAAAATAAAAATGTTAAACATAATATTATTTTCCTCCAAGATTTAATAAAAAAGAAAGAAGAGGAATAAGGAAAGAGAGGAGAAGATAAGTAGAAGAAAGAATGTTTTGGGAGCCAAAAATCTAGGTTGGCAGCGCCTAGTCTTCTATTTATAATAGTGTGATAAAAAAAATAAAAAGGCAACTATAGATATACCCTTGGTGGCATATTCTAATAAAAAACAAATAGGAAATAAGTAGAAAAACATGCTGACAGTAATGATAAAGCATCAGTGATCAGTGATCTAACAACACTCCCCCTCAAGTTAGAGACGGCAATTTGGCCCATCTGCATGGGGCTCCACCCCGCCCCACCCCAATCAAGGCAGTTTTTTACCACATTGATCGGGATTCAGAACGGATTTCAAGGAAACCCAAAACTCTAGGGACAGGGGATAGGGCCGGGATGTAACCAAGTGAAACTTTCTCCACAAGACCCCCCTTTCAACTAGTGCCATGCATTCTTCATTCTTCTTAATATAAAAGATTTTTATTAAAAATAACAAAAAATGAGATCCTCCTTCCTCTTCTTCCTCCTCACCCCCTCCTCTTAAGGAGGCTTACGCCTCCTTGTGCTAGGGAGGCTTATGCCTCTTACGTTCTAAACTACGCCTTATACCACTAGGTAGTGTAACACCTTGCATCATGCCTCCGCATTTTAAAACATTGATGACTAGACTTCACATTGCTTATGCCATAGGTGTCCTTAGTTCATGCATGCTCTAAGACCACTCATTTGGAGGCTACTGAGAGGATTTTGAGGTATCTAGAAAAGTTTCCAGGAGTAGGATGGTTGTTTCAGAAGCATGGACATTTAAAAGTTGAAGTGTACATAGATTTAGACTGGGTTGGATCAATAGATGATAGGAAATGTATCAATGGATATTGTACCTTTGTGGTGGGAAACCTAGTCATTTGGAGAAGTAAAAAACAAAGTGTTGTAGCTAATTTAGTGTAGAAGATGAATACAAAGTTATGTCCCATGGAGTTTCTGAAGCTATGTGGATAAAGAACTTGTTGGGTGAACTAGGAATTTACGGTTAATAGTCCCATGTCTCTTTATTGTGACAATAAGGCTACCATCAATATTGCAGCCAATTCAGTCCTCCATGATAAAACAAAACACGCTGAAGTGGATAAACACTTCATTAGGGAAAAACTTGTAAGTGGAGAAGTGTATACTCCCTATGTTAGTTCTGAAAAGCAACTTGTAGATATCTTCAAAAGGACCTACACCACTTGTGGTACAATGAATTATGTGACAAGTTGGGCATGATTGACATTTATGTCCCAACTTGAGGGGGAGTGTTAAATTTTATCAGTTTTTTATGTTTATGTTCTACAAGGGCACTATTTCTTATTGTGTGTTATGTCACCCTACCATAAATAAGGTTGGAGCCGCCAGCCCAACTTTTTGACTCCCATTCTCTTCTCTTCTCTCTTCGCTCTTCTCTCCTCTAACTTTCTAACACCTTTTACCTAGAAAATAGTAATATAGAGTTTCACACCCTTAGTCCACTCCAAATAATTCAAACAATTTAATGCAGTAATTGGCATAGGAAAGGAGTTCAAATCAGCCCCACACAACATCCCACAGCACATCCCCGCCGTGTATTGGGAACATCTCCCAATGATGACATCATCATTTCTGGTGTTACCATTGGGAGATGTTCCCAATACACAGCGGGGATGTGCTGTGGGACGTTGTGGGGGGGGAATCTTGTGGGGGGGGCTGATTTAATCTCATAGGAAAGAGCATACTGTCAGCCCCTATACTAGTTGTCCCTCGGGTTGATGTAACCCCAGCCAAGGCAGAATCATCAGTTACCATTAAGACAGGTTCTACAAACACCAAATAGGAAAGTTGATGCAAAAAATTGTCTGCACCCCACTTCTACCACCCACAACCACAGATGGGGGCGCAAAAGACAGGTCAATCTACCTTCTAGGACACTAGAACTCAAACTCTGGTCACCATCAGGTCACACACCACAGGTGGTACTTGTACAAAAGCACCACATCCAAAACACCCCTTTTACAGCATTGACTGTTACCAAAAAAAGGTCTCCTTGGTGTTATGACCAAGGGAGAAAACAAAAAAAAAAAAAAGAGTAACTGAAGGATTGACCAGTCTGATCAGGTGTTCTCTTCACAGTCCAAGAAAAAAGAGTTCTGGGTGAGAAAAAAAAGATTTCTATCGCCCAGAACCTTGCTCTGGTACCATGTTTTCCTCCAAGATTTAATAAAAAAGTGAGAAGAGGAAGAAGGGAAGAGAGGAGAAGAAGAAAGAATGTTTTGGGAGCCAAAAATCTGGGCTGGCAGCTCCCAGTCTTCTATTTATAATAGTGTGATAAAAAAATAAAAGGCAATTACAGATATGGCGGCACACACTAATAAGAAATAAATAGAAAATAACTAGAAAAACATGCTGACAGCAATGATAAAGCAACAGTAACCTAACAACAAATATAAACTTAAATTTTAAAATAAATGTTTTAAAAAAACTTATTATCTCAAATTAAAATGCATAAACATGCCATGTAAAACATATTCAAGCATGTAAAATTCTCAACCTCTTAGGTAATTCTATTGGTATTCCTTGAATAATTCAATATGGTGCATCTGACCATATAACTGGTGCTTTGTCATTATTTTGTTCATATCAATTGTGTTCTGATATGATTAAGGTGGCAATTGTTGAATGGTCCCTAAATTCATCATCATAATCATCATGACTTATCCCAACTATATGGGTTCAACTACATGACTTTTTTTGCCATTTCACTCTGTTTAATGCAGTGTCTATTGTTAAGTCATGAGCACTTAAACCTTTTCTTACTACTTTGACCCATGTGCTTAGTCTGCCCTTAGCCCTTCTAGCCCCTTCAACCTGTAACACATCACTTTCTTCTTACGGGTATTGTAGGTGGTCCTCTATGTATGTTCTTAAACAATACACATGAGATCAAAAATAGTGATTGAAGTGTACTCTTATCAGAAGAAGATATTAGGGTGTGTAAGCCCTTGTGGTCGGCCCACCCCTTTGTATAACTAACATGTTTAAGAAAGAAATACTACAAAACTAACCCCTTTAGTAACAAAAGGCAGCAGCACATATATTAAGTATTTCTACATTCGCCCCCTCAAGTGGAGCATGGATATTTATCACTCTCAACTTGCTCGATACAAAGACTAACTTCTTTATTAACCCCTCAGTCAAAAAATCAGCTAATTGGTCTTCAGTTTTGACATATGGAAAGCAAACTTCCTTCCTATCATTTTCTCCCTTGTGAAATGTCTATCAACTTCTACATGTTTGGCTCTATCATGTTGAACAAGATTGTGAGAAATGTTGATAGCTGCTTTGTTATCACAATGCAGTCTCATGGGTTCTTGAGACTTAACCCCAAGCATTTTCAAAAGCAATTTCAGCCACAACTCTGATACATCATTAGTTGTAGATCTAAATTCTGCTTCAATACTGGACCAAGCTACTACATTCTGCTTTTTACTCCTCCATATCACTAAATTCCATTCTAGGAGAGTACATGTTGTATGACATATAATATAAAATATTATACATTTAATATTTATACATAAAAATCAAGCCTAGAACAGCCCAACCCATGATCACCCCTATTAAGGAGGATCTTCTAAGCTCCATGAGGAATTGGCTTGAACAACATGGTAGTGTGTGTTGCACCAATTGAGGGTGTAGATGTTCAAGACTGCTATCAGTCTTGAGCACTAATAAATTTCAAGTTCGAAAAGGAGAGAAAGTATAGAGGAAAGAGGAGAAAGAGTAGTGAGAGAGCAGTAGAACACAAACTTTGAAAGGAAGGACAGAATCTCAATGTTCTGCCGCCGCCACTTCTATTTAATATTTATAGGTTATGCTAGTTACATGAAAGGACACATCTGCCCT